TCGGTTCTGACTCAGCAATCTTACACAGGGTTTCTGAGGCTGTAAATCTTTATGGGAGCAGAAAGCCTCATCTTTCTCCTGTGGAACAGCTGGTAGTTTCGAACTGCTAACCCTGTGGTTTGCAGCCCGATTTGTAACCACTACGCTACCTCTAAATACCAACAGAGAGGGAAGGAGTCTTCACATCAAGTATCAATGCTATCCCCTCTGTGTATACACAGGGTAGATAGGGATGGGCAACTTAGACATTGGCAACCTAAAATCAGGGGGCGATAAAGGCACAAAGTGACTGAACTTACAAGGTTTCAAGAGGGAGTTTAGTTTAAAAGTGTGGGTTTGAAGAAAGAGTCCCCACTGAATAGTTTTCATCTTGTCTAGATGGGTCTGGTGAAAAGAGATGGGGATAAGATTCGTATGATTCAACAGTGAACAATTGTTATCATGACTAATTGTGACTGTCACAATTGTAAAGGTAGAAGTTTTGTAACAAAAACAGGGGAATGGTTAATATTACAGTCCAGAAACAGAGGACCTTAGGACCATCAAGGGATTAAAGAGCACAAGCAGAATACAGGGCCTTATCCAGAGAAGCAGCGATGCCAGAGAGGGAGGCAGAGCTGGGGGCATGGAGAGGAGAAGCAACTGAGGACTCTAGAATCATGGGAAGAGAAGGACTAAGAGCTGGTAGCCATGAGGCAGACTTGCAGAATATGCCCTTTGGAGATGTAAATTATTATACATGCCTGAGTGGTTTCTGTTTTTTTAAAAAAAGCTAAAGTGAATACAGAAAAATACTGGTAACTGATGGTACATGGAGGGTATTATAATCATTGTAACAAAACAAGGTGTGATTTGCTGAATGTAAAACTGATGATCTGCGCTGAAAACTTTCACTCAATCCACAATAAAAACCTTAAAAACAAAAACATTATTAAAATAAAATCCCTAGACCTTCTAGATACCAAGAGTGGAAAGGGCCCGTTGGCTTAGCGCATACACCCAGCTCAGATATACTGTGCAGCTGCAATTCATGCAGCAGGTGCAACTCGCCCAGTGGCAGAAGACGCTGCCATAGCAACAGATCCGGAACATTGTGACTGGCCTGGGTTTAGGAGCCCTGGTGCTTGCTATTTATGATTACACCTTGTACTCAGTAGCCCAGAAGCATTTCCTTGATGAGCTCGAGGATGAGGCCAAAGCTGCCTGAGCCCAAGCCCGAGCCCTGACAAGAGCATCAGGCCCCTGATCCTGATGGGTACCATGCATCTCCAATCTACTGGGGCCCTTTTACAAGTCAGATGATACTCCACGATCCTGTAGAAAGTGAAGCCTGATCATAGTTTTGTTGGCCTTACTAACCTCATACCACAACTGAACCCAAGAAGCCAGGGACTGATGCATTCAGGCATAAAAGGACTATAGGGTGCCTCATACTCATAGTATGCAGTGACAAAGCTCTTCTTGTAATTTGTTTCCTTGTTTGACAACTGTGCACCCCTGGTTTTTCCTAACAGTTCTGACTGGTTTACTCCCTTCACACCTCGGGGGGGTTGGGGGGTGGTTAACAGTTACAGAGGTCAGAGACGGCAGCTCCTAGCAGTATTGAAGCCTGAGGTAGGAATGTTGAGCCATGTTGAGAACAATATACTGACTCACCTCTGAAATAAATAATTTAATTTAATCCATAAACCCATGAAGTAACGATAAATCTAGACCCTAACATATAACAGTCCAAAAACTCAACCTTAAAAGAGCAGGACTTTCCTGGTGCTGGTATCTCTTCCTTTGTGCTAAAGATAAAATTTAAAGCTGCAGTAGGCACTTCTGTTAGATAAAGCTTATAGCTGTAACTGAATGAGCTTTCTTTCTTCCTTTCATAGATCAAAATATGACCGTCCTTGGAAAAGGAATGTGTAGGCGTGCCTTTATTTTTCACAAAACATATATAAACTCTGTATTTAACCAGACTCATTTGAAGCAGACCTGTATGGAATGATGACATTGTCCATTTCCCACTTATGCATAAGTGACTAAACTCTACTGTCTATTCACTTGGTGTGGCTAAACTGGCTTTATGTTGTGCCAGGCACAACCCCACATTCAATTAACCACTACTTTGACAAAAAAAAAAAAAAAAAAAAAAAATTGATGTTCTACCATTTCTAGAGCTAGCATATGATCAAGAACTGATGGGACATCTAACAAGATGACATCAATGAAGATTATAGTTGCCACATCTTAAGATACCTAAAACAACTCCAGTTATGACTTAAGTTTCACTGACGTTGTTTAAAAGATAAAAATCTTTACGACCTAAATGTAAAACCTACAACTATAAAAATCAATGTAAAAACAGAGAGATACATATGGGGTCTAATACATGGCATAAATATACTATCAAACATAACTAAAAATACACAAACAGTAGAAGACAAAACAGATGACTGGGACCTCCTGAAAATTAGAAACCTATCTGGAACACTTAATTGTGCTCATGAGGAATCTGTACCTGGATCAAGAACCAGCTGTCCAAACAGAACTTGGGAACACTGAATGGTTTAAAATTAAGAAAGGTGTGTGATAAGGTTGTATTCTTTCACCATACTTATTTCAACCTGTATGCTGAGCAAATAATGCGAGAAGCTGGATTTTATGAAGAAAAATGTGGCATCAGGGTAGGAGGAAAACTCATTAACAAC